TTTTATTTGTATTGACGAACTGCTGAAATTCGAGGCAGGTCTATCGGTTTAGGGCATCCATTAAAAAAAGTAAAAATAATGCCATTTGGGAACAAAGATGATAGTAGACATATGCACATCAAATTATCACATATTTTATAGATACTTTGATAATAAGAACAAATTCTGTTTACAGTTCTGTGGGTTCCGTACCAATGTTTATCCGTTGGACTGCGTTCAATATTTCGTTTCTACGCAAATAACGTATCGCGAATGCTTTGAAAAAAAAGTTAAAATAAATTCAAAATTTCAATTTTATCAAAAAAATTTTAAATCACAAAAATCTATTTTTTTCAGTTCTAAAAAAATTAAAAAAAGTATTTTTTTGTACGGAAAGTTCCAGAAATTTGCCTTAAAGCACGATGCCATGCACCACTAGTTTTTATTTATATAAGATCTATTTATAATATTTTATGTTTTTAGGGGATTGATACAACAGCTGATGATCAAGCCCTTGTAGAAGAGAAAATCCTGGAAAAAGATTTTGATTTGGGCAGAAACTGCACTCTGGTAAATTGGTTTATTATAAATACATACATTATAATTTTGTTAATATCTATGTTATTAATGATAATTGTTAATTAGGTTAGAGTAGTCCAAGGCTATGAACCTCCTCATTTCCTCCAAATGTTTCGTGGAAAATATGTCGTGTACGTGGGTCCATCAGAACAATGTAAGCAATCGGTTTACGGGATAAAATACCCTCGACTTGGTCTATATAATTGATTATATTTTTTTCCCAAACAAGTTTCCTGCAAACAATCAATTCTTCTCCATGTGAAAGGCGAAGGAAATTTGGCGAAGGCATGGGAAGTGCCGGTGTTTGCTTCATCTTTGAAGACGAAGCAGTGCTTTGTATTCTTTGTTTATGGTAAATTATAATATTGTTCTTTTTTATCTATTATTTACTTATCAATTATCTTTTTCGCAGGTGGTAGTTATCGCGACGAGAACGCGCAAAGTTTCCACGACACTGGACAAACTCCAGCATCAACAATTTCTGGTCAGAGTGCAGGAAGATTGTCTTCCAGCGGGTCCAGAAGTTATTCTACCAACAGCACACCGAGTATTACCCAGATAAACACGAAATACAACTCTCAATCAAGTACAAGGCAGAGAAGTGGTATGCTAGATGAGAATATGTTGGTGCCAATTAATACCTTGAATTCTGGGAAAGTTGGCAGTATGAGGAGTGTTTTAAATAATTCTAAGAAATATGAAAATGGTTTTTCTGGATCACGGACTAGTGGTTTCCAACGAGCATCGGCAAATCCCATTTCAAGAATCACCAGTGGTGGCAATTTGACAGCTGATGTTCAAGAAAATCTTGATGCATCGAGGTAGATGCTAAAAATAGATAGTCTTCAATGACAGTGTGCAATGTCCTTTATTTATTACAGGTTGACTGTGCCCAATGGTTCATTGATCCAAAGGCTACCTACATCTTCAGTCATGGCGAGGGATCGAAGTACCACAAGACCACTTGAATATGAAAATACTGTAGCAGATAACATTTCGAAGATCAGTGCTTCAAAAATGATTCAAAACACGGACCAAAGTTCTTATATAGTTACGACACCTTCAAGGTCTCCGGGTAATTATAAACAAAACAAATATATTTATCACAATACATTAATTATTTTTACATCCAGATATACAGCGGCGAGCAACCAAGGATCCCAAAACCCTTCCCAAGGCCCACAAAGGCAAACTGTGACGAGTAGACAAGAGAGTGTCAGTCAGAAAGACGAAACTCTAGATGACACTGGAATTAGACAGACGAGACAATACACGAAAGAATTTCAGTCGCAGAATCAATTGCAGAATCAGAATCAATTTCAGTCGCAGAATCAATTGCAGGATCAGAATCAATCTCAGGAGTACAATCGATCTCTCGTTTCACAAGAACTGAATCAGGATGCACGAAATGAGGGACAAAAGTCCAGCCAGGGATCAAGAAGTAAGTTCAGAATTGTATTAATTGAAATTCTTTTTTCGCGTTCCCTTTGAATTTCGGATGCACCTCTTGCAACTTACTCCTAAAATATTATTATTTCCTCAGAAAGCACGACGTTTTCGCATCAAAATTTAATTGAGATACCTGTATGCAATTTGGAGATTGTCAAGTGCTTTGTCTGGTTTGGAAAAGGATCTACTGGTGACGAAAGAGAGGCTGCCAAAAAAATTGCTCAGGGCGACCCCAGACAACCGATGGAGTACGAAATAGTGATGGAAGGTAAAGGGAAATAGTAACAACTGCAGAATTATTTTATTGGTTGTTGTAATTGATTTTTTTTCAGGGCGAGAGCCTGAAGATTTCTGGATGTTCTTGGGCGGCAAGGAAGGCCTAATGGATCCTGAAATAATAACACAACAGGAGACACAGAGACCGGCGAATATGCCCCCAGCACGACTGTTCAGAATACCCAATGTTGCAAAAGTGTCGAATGTGGACAATTTTAATTTATTAAATGGTAAAAAGTTTAAAACATAAATCACTTCGTATAAATTTTTGCATATTTGAATTAATTTAATAGCAACTCAGAAGTAGTTTTATTCAGTATATTTGATTTTATTAACAACTATTATATATTTTTTTAATTATTTTATCAATTATTTATTTAACTTTATTCCCAGCTGTAGAGTATTTCAGCCCTACACAAAATCGACTTTCGCCTCACAGTGTCATGTTATTGGATTCTTACGAAGCAATTTTTATCTGGTTGGGAGAATTTTGTTCCCAGGAGCAATACACGAGTGCTGTTCAATTGGCAGATAAATATTTGGCCTCAGGTAATGAATGAAAAGGAACCAATTTATCTAAATCACAACTGTCATGATAAATAAACTACTTCTACTCTAAATAGAATATACAATTGAGCAAGAGTGAAAGTAAGTTTCAGACTTTATATTTGTTTTCTTATAGATCCTGCTGTAAGAGATCCATTGATACCAGTATGCGTCTTGAAACAGGGTCATGAGACCCCAAATTTCATTGGATTCTTTCCAGATTGGAACAACAACATGTGGGAAGTGAGTACCACAAAACATAAAATTAGCAAATCTGCACTAAACATAAACTTTTCCTTTGTAAATATATTTTATGTAATATTTTGTAACTATTATTACCTTCTCTTTTAGAATTTCCAATCCTTCAACCAAGTCAGAGAAACAATCGACCGTGAAAGGGCCTCCAGAAATAATAAAGACTGCAAAACTTTGGCCAATGACTTGGACCCGGATACCCACACAGAAGTTAGTATCAGGGCAAGAATTATACAAAGAAATCGAGAGTTTGACCTACATGATAAATACCCTTTGGATGTACTTAAAGAGATCACTCCTTGTAATACACCATATGGAATCGATTTGCAGAAAAAAGAGGTAAGATGAGAAAAACTTATCTTGGTGCAACATAATTCCCTTTGCAGTTTTGATATTATTTTCAATGTTTCAGTTACATTTAACTCATGATGATTTCATGGCGATTTTCGGAATGGACTATTCAGAATTTGATAAACTTCCTTGCTGGAGACAGCACGAGTTGAAGAAACGAGCTGGATTATTTTAATTTTTTTAAATCAAATATTTATACAAATAAGTTATAATATATACATTTATTTATTCATACAAATCAGTATTCTAAACATATTATTTTTGATAAATAAAGCACTTATATTCTATATGAATGTGTCGATGATATTTGAAATTAAGAAATGGGTCGAGGGACAAGAGACAAATGAAAGTGTTTTCATAATAAAACCTTTAGATTTTTTAAAATAGCTTAATGTTAAATAGGCAAGTTACTCATATTGGATAAATTTGAGCAATTTTATACTGTTATGTAAAAAGTAAGGACTTATTTAGAAAAGCTTTTCGAACAAATTTTAAGTCCATCTTAGCCAATTTATTAAATTTGTGAAAAAGTTTAAATATAGGAACATTGCTGGAAAATTCCAGGAAACTACGATACATTCAAAATAACAAATTGTAAAAGATTATAATAGCAAGTTATAAATTAGATAAAAAATGTTGGATTACTAGTAAATTGTTGTGAAAAAATTGGTCGATAGTACAAAATGTTGACCAAACGATAGATATTTGGCAAAATTATTACCAAATTGTCTTCTAAGCCTGAAGTTTATCTTTTTAGATAAATATATTGTTAAGAATATTATGAACATTGACTATTTTGAGAATTTCAAATTACTATGGCTTAAAAGTACAATAGACTTTTTAAAGAATTCTTTCTTTCTGTAGTAAATTTAAAAACATTATAAAGTTTGGCAAGCGTTTGATATAAAAATGACAGCATTTTTAACCTATAAATTTTGTGTATGTTTCTGATAAAAATTGTATATATTTATGCATATATATTGTACATATTATATTCAAATATTATATACAAATGTTGTCATCTATATAATCAGTTAAACAGTTGTGAAAATCATTCAGACACCATAAAATGAAATGACATTAATGTACTTACATTTCGATCCTGATAATAACAAATAATGCAGTGATGGTAAATGTACACTTATGTCCTTAAATTTTATTTGTTGAATTTAAAAAGGCACTGGTTATTCACAAGAATAAAATAAACGTTTTAATAACTTTTGTAACAACTCCATTAAACTTGCGTCTTTCAAAGTCAAAACACAAATGAAATGGCACTCCAGTGCTGCAACTTTTATTTCATGATTAGCTTTACAAAAATTCAAAATGTTAATAATTTTATTATTGAATGAGCTGTATATTGTATTGTATACTAAAAAAAATCATTTAAAGTGTATTTCAATTAAGATTTAAATTTAAATTCAAATCTTTCAACGTTATTTTTTGTGTACACAAACATTGCGTTGTCCATGTTGGCAACACTTTGATGTGTTAGTGTCATGAAGTGAGGCGAAGATGTCCGACGTTTTTGACATAAACAATTATGGCCGTATGCCAAACGACTTTTGAAAATTAGAAAATTGTCTATTTGTTTATCATTCTATATTTATGAATAAAGTGATGTGGCAAAAGTGAGTACAAAAATGTGGCCAATATTATTGGATATTTCTAAAGACGAGTGTCGTGGAATACTTCGAAGGCTAGGTAAAAAAATAAGAAAAAATATGCCACTCATATAACATCATTAATTATGTTAAACTTGTTAATAAATTCATATATTTTTATAGAATTGGAAGCCTACGCTGGTCTTCTGAATGCTTTTAGAGCCCAAGGGACATTAGGTCAAAGAAAACGTGAAATGTTGGTCCAATTAAGATCTGTACTACATATCAATGCTGACAGACATAAAGCTGAAATTAGAAGGGTTACAAATGATGAGACCCTTTGCACAGTTTCAGAACAGTAAGTAGATTAAAAATACATCCCAAAACTATATATTTCAGTAAATCCTATTTATTAAAAATAAAAAAAATATTACACATAAACAGTGTACTTTTTAAAACTTTCAAGCAAGTTTGCATGCTGTTGTAAAAGACTGTTAATCATACAATCTACAGTCTCGAATAGATCATACCTGAAGAGGAGATGTCTAAAAGAATGTTATATTTCTTTTATAAAAATAACTTTTCAGGGTTATAAATAACCAGACACTCATATTACTGGATATCCATTATATCAAGACCTTTATATAGTCACCTAAGCAGCAAGACAGATCAGGCCTTAAAAATTCCATGTTAAATATATATTTAACACATGATTTATGTGTTTTTTAAGATAAATTAGTGCACTAAAATAATGGCGCCATTTTGTGACAGCTGTCATAATAGATTGTGACATTTTGTTTCAGCATGTTCAAAATAAGTGCCCCCTTGAGGAAATTAATTATTTATTGCTTAAAAGCATTTATGTTCTTTCTTGGATCATTTACATGATATTATATATTCATATACATTGAGGCATTTTTGTTATTTGTATAAGCGCTTACTTGTTTATTATTTTGAGCGCTTTTTAGATTTAACTGAGATGTTATAGACATTATTAAAAACAACTAGTTATTAATTGTATTTTTTCTTGAAATTCACTCTTCATCATGTATATATACATAATATATTCAATAATAATTAAGTTTTCGCTATAAATTGAATTTGCAACAGCTTACTTGTTAAAGAAAGCTTTCACTTTTAAATTAACATAAAATAAGTCAATTGTTTTTCTTTTTCATCTAATAGTTATCTATTCATTTCTTTTAGAATTTCTGGAGATAACTCTCGAATGGATTGGCTCACAGAAGGACGCAGAACAGTTCCTCTAATTCCACGAGGGAGATTAGAAACTGCTTATGCTGCCCTTGCCGATAGCCTTGCCAGAGAGGCTTTCATGCAAAATAGGGAAATCAAAGTTAAACCCTGTACTGAAGTGACACGGCCGAAAAAGTACTTGCCAGATCACACAAATGTTGTTACAAATGAAAACAGGGTAAGAAATATAAATAGAAAAAATAAATAACATTCTACATAGTTGGAATATGATTTATTCTTTATTATTTTCTTTCTTATTGAAACTTTAATGTTTACTATAATTAATTCAAATTTTAATTACTTGGAATTACATAATTTTGATATATAATGAAATATAAAATATATAATTGGATGTTTATTGTATGAAATGCAAATTTACAATAAATATTGATTATATATGCCCAAATAAAACTTGATTTCTAAAACCAATTACAAATTTAAAATATTTCGATTATAAATCTAATTGATTCTTTAGAGCATCATAATTGTAACAGCTAAATAAATAATAGTATATACTCATGTGTATATATATATATATATATATATATATATATATATATATTTCGCAATTTTAATTTACGTCAATCCAGTTTTTTCATGTCATGCACTTCATAAAAAACTGCAAATTATTACAAAATTTATATGTATGTCTTAAAAATAACATTCTACATGATAGGAATATTATTTTGTTGTTCATTCTTTTCTTTCTATTGAAACATTAAATATAACAGATAAATAGTTTTATTTCAAAAAAGAAATAATAATTAATATTATTTGTTATAACCTCAACTTAGAATGTGAATTGTCATTGGCTGTCACTTATAAATTAAAAGTGTTGCCACATAAGGACTTTTTTAAATTTATTTCCCACGTGTGACAGTTTTATTTTAGAGTTGAAAAGGGGCACCCTTTTGTAAAACTTTTCTTTATTTGATCCCGCCGTCGTACTATCTTCCGTTTTAATGCTTATTTCATAATTTTCCATTGGGATTCTTACTTATAAATATATAAAAATAGTAATATGTACATTTTGTAGGTTATAAGTTAGTTCATCCCTAAAACTGATTATACATTTTTTACTTCAGCAAGTGCTACCTGCAGTACAAAGAGAAAGAACGAAAATACGTCGAAGAAATTCCACAGAAGTAATCAGCAATGAGATTGATAATAAACAAACACAAAGCACTGTCAATCCGAGAATTTCCCAAACAGTTCCTGTGCCACCAAAAGTTCCAATTCCTAGTACTAGCAAAAGTGTCCCCTCAACAACAGTATATCATCAGGAAAGGATTAAAGATCATATGAGAAAGAAGTCGTCTCAAGTCACTACAAATGCCAAAATAAAGCAGTTATATAATTCACAAAATAAAGTAAAAAGTAAGTACTTTTATTATTTCATTTAAAATATTTTATATATAATGATTAATTTTTTTCTAGGTCATCCCTATCAAAAGCACCCCCCAAATACACAATCATCAAAATTAACACATGTGCCGCAACATGCACCTAAAATCAAGACTAATCGTGGACCGAATCCCCAAATTCCACAACCCATCACACCAAAAGTTTCAAGTATGAGACCTCCTTCTCATGTTAGAAATATATTTGAACCCAGTCCTGCTAATAATATTACAATAAAAGTAGAAGAACAGAAAGTTTCTAGGCTATCACCGAATGAGCAGGTCTCTGAGGATGATAATAGGTTAAAACAACACCAGGTTAAAGAACCGGTTAGGACCATAGTTTCAGTAGCAGCGCAGATGCAAAGTAATGATAAATATCATTATGTAATATCTCCTTATCAAAAGGTACAGGTTCATAAACCACCTGAAGAGGTTAAAAATGTTAAAATAATACCGCAACAACAAAGCACAAACAAGCCAATGTTAGTACAAAATATATCTAATAATAGAATAAAACAACATCCCAGTTTGCCGAATGGCAAGACAGTGAAACTAGTTTCTATAGCACTTCCTAACAAAATGAAACCAGTGACGACGTTGGTACCAGTTTCAAACGCCCCTGGTAAAGTAACAATATCCAACAGCTCCTTTAAACCTGTCACATTACAAAATGTAACCAGTAACAATAAATTTGCTAAAGTACAAATCGATGCAAGTAAACCAAATGTAATATTTCTACAAAAGCCTAAACCGGGCCAAAATGATGTGCCAATTGTTGTAACTAAAGATGGAAAGGAAATCAAATTGATGACTCCCACGGACAGTATGAACAAAAAAGAGCATATGAAGCCAACAAATGTTATTCTTTTAGATGTTGCCAATCCTCAAGCGGATAAAGGGGCAGCCCTAGCTCAAATATTACAGGCTTCAGGGGTGCTTCCTGCTAAGAATGAGATTATAATTAAGAGTAGTCAGCCTGCGAATTCTTTAGAGAATATTATTATTGAGGAAAGGCTGACAGATGGAAATGTGGGGAATAAGATGGTGTATAGCAGTCGAAATAAGGTACAAGTGGAAAATAATGTAAATACTTTGAATTCTACAGATTGGGAAGAAGAATTAGATAATGCTAGCGGTAATAAGTATGCAATAAGGAATCAAAATAATATGGGAAAAGTTAAAGTTATAGGATATAAGGCTAATAATGGTGATCAAGTTTTGAGGATAGATGAAAATTTCTCAAAAAATACTGGTAAGTTACATTCAACATTTATAAATATTTTTAGGTTAACACATTATATAGAAATCATACAATAAATTACCTTCCTGTAAGATTTCCAGAAAATGTTTTAGGTTGTCTGAAAACAATTATCTCAATCAATTTATTTCTTTCAGGGTCCCAAAAGCATCACGAAACCATAGTTTGTCTCAACCCCCAAGACACTTTCACGATAATCAAGGATAAAACTGATAATGCATCAATAATGTCCGACGCTGAACTCATGAATATATTAAATGGAAGCAAAGAAGACTCAGAAAGTAGTACAACAAATTTGAATTGTAATTACAAATCAAACGACACAACAATACAACGACAGGATATATTTCAAAAGGCTTTGGAACAGGCTGATATTAAATTGGACTCTGAGGAATATTTGGATGAAAATCTGGATGAGAATATATATGTAACCGAAAGGTAAAATAAATAATTAACTGATGTGTATTATTAAATGCTGATTATGTTTTTTGTTCAGGTTGCAGGATGGAACTTCTATAAATGATCATATTATTTATGAGCCTATTCAGCAGCATCAATCGGTGGAAGATAGTGCTTCGAATATGATAGTAGAGGAAGAAGAAATTGTTATTGAAAATTATTATGTGGAACAGAATATGATAAATGCTGACGAAGAAACACACACATATAATATTGGTAAGTAGTATTAAGAAAGCATTTTAATTTTTTAACCCTGAATTTTTTCCAGTAAAAGTAATTTTTAATTCATTAATTACCTGGCTTTTTTTTCAATAAAATCATTTATCAATCAATTAGTTACCTAGATTTCTTTAGTAAAATCATTTTTAATTAATTAGTTACCCAGATTTTTATTTCAGCAAAATTATTTCTAATTAATTTATTAATTAAAGTATCAACTAATTGAGTGATATAAAATTTCTTTGAATAACTCTTCTTGCTATTTTACATTTACAAATTAAATAATTTAAAGCATTTAAACTATTTGTTGAATTTAATTAGTATGTTTTAACATTACAAGCCCTATAGGAACTCGGTATACTTATAACTAATATATTGATTTCTCATCAACTACACAACTTGCCCTAGGGCCAAAATTATTTATATATTTATTATTCATTTCCATTTCAGATGCTACAGATGTTGAAATGTCTCTTATGGAAGTGACGTGACTTAAATTCAAATCCAATGTGGGTATGTAATATAAATTTTAGATATTTAGTTTGAGGGCTAGGCGATATCATTGTAAATAGACAAAATATTTTTTAATTGAAAATCTAAAACCATAAAAAAAACACTGAAAGGACATTAAATCACATGAATTTTGATATAAAAAATTATATATATTGTGGTATAAAAAGAAATAATATTATTTATGAAGTGGCATAGCATACCCTCCTAGTTAAGTTTAATAGTTTTTGATTTTATAAATTTCTGTATATATATATATATATATATATATATATATATATATATAAAGAGTATGTACAAAATATTGTTATAGATGTAAAATATGATGATCACACAAAAATAAATCTATGTATTTATAATTTTTTCAATAAAAATATGTTGTATAAAAATTACAGAATGTTTTTTAACAAGGTTTGTGTTACAATTTAGGGTCTTTTTTATATAAATAATTTTACTTAGTTACTGCGTGTATGGCTTTTGCCACGGGTTTAACAGTCTTACAATTGATGCCTGCAAATGAAATTCTGCCCGTTTTCATTAAATAGACATGGTGCTTCTTCATTAATTCAACAGCCTGATGAAACATAAAATATATAAATAAAACAGTATGGAGTTTTTGTATAAAGTGTTATGTACCTGTTTCTCGTTGATCCCCAACAAGGAGAACATACCGACTTGACAGCCAAGGAATGACCAGTCTCTTTTGGAACCTGCACTTTTTAGCTCGCAGACTAATTTTTCCCTCATGTTTGCGATTCGTGTTGACATCGCCTTTACATCTTTTAACCTGGTGAAAAAGTCGATGAATATGCAGGGTTGAATAATAATACAAAAGGCTCAAAAAGTAGTAAAGATTCTTAAAAAACCAGTAATTTTTTGAAGTGATAACTTCTCAACAGATACAATAGAAAGGAGAAAAGGGAAAATTGTGTGAGTATGTTGTAGATTGTCCAGAAAAACATTTTTAAATAAACTACAGCATTTTCAGATGATATAATTAAGTAAAGGATATTTTATTGTCAATTTAACCATGAGACTCCTTTCCATCTACTTACCACATTGGATAAAAGTCCTCGCTGGTCAAAATCTCATTCACAATTCTGGCTCCTCCGATGGGTGGATTGGAGTACCAGGGTCTTATGAGAAGTCTCATTTGTGATTCGATTTTAACAGCCTCCACTTTTGAACAAGTGGTCATCAATAATGCACCGATTCTCTCACCGTACAATCCTTTGGAAAGAGAAAATTATTCTTGTTAACTATTATTCTGTAAAACCTCTTGGAGAAAAAATAAAAGAGCGGTGGGATAAAAAGGACCAGATCTTAAATGTTAGAAAAGTTACAAAAAGGATATATTTCTAGAATTATGAATTAGCTAGGATATTTCTTGATCATAGTTTGGTATTTGTTTACAAATACATTACCCATGTTTTTAGAAAAACTGGCAGCCACCATGACCTGAATTTCTTCGTCCAGGAAGTGGCGGACTGGAAATGCGTCATTTTTTATATTTCCAGTCGCAAAACCTGTAAAACAGTAAAATATAAATATATTATAAAATTGTTTGGACTGAAAATTGTGTTACCTTGATAGGCCATATCGAAAAATGGGAATATTTTTCGTTTCTTCACAATTTCTGCAATTTCTCTCCATTGTTCTCGATCAGGATCTGCTCCTGTCGGGTTGTGGGCGCAGGCGTGGAGCAAAATTATGTTTTTTTCAGGAATTTTCTAAAAATAATAGAAATATTAAGCTCCTGCTCCAGCATTAGGAAATAGCAATAATTGAAATAGGAAAGTTTTTTTTTTCAACTTTTTGCAATATTGTCTAATATCTATACTGTAGATGATGTATTATTAAAATCGTTATTAGATCCAGGATAAACTAAGATTTTGTATTATGTAATTATTTGCCATATGTTCTCCTACAGCAACATTTATAAATTACCCATGAATTCATATATAAATTTGACATTGATTAAGTTTTTATCTTAAGGCCAAATGCCGCTTACACCTAGTTTTTCTATTACTCACGTGTAAAGCTTCACACAAACAAGCAAAATTCACTTTATGACTGGCATGGTCATAATAATCATACTCCTTGACCTTAAGTCCTTGCAGGGCAAAAATCTTAGGATGGTTGGCCCAAGTTGGTTTCGGCAGCCAGACCACTTTTTCACAGGGAAAGTGCCTGAAAATAAATATACATTCACTCGAATGTTATTCATTTACTCATTAAAAATAATACCAATTAATATCGAATATGTTTCTAAGGTAAATTTATTTTGGTATGCCTAAAATCATATTGGGTAAAGATATACGGCCGGCTTTCGGCACAAATGTAATTTGTCCAATAAATCTTCAATATCTTTACAAATTGTTAGACAACATCAAATCATGTGTTAGGAAAACTTTTATAATATTAAATTATCTACAATTTGTCCTAATATTATTATGCCCTACAGCAACTCGATGTACTCTAAAATTGCATTAGAAACCGACCTACAGCGCGCTTTTGGCACAAATGTAGTTTTAATAAATCTTTAATATCTTTTTTAATTGTTCGACAACATTAAATGTTGTGTTAGGAAAACTTTTACAATATTAAATTATCTACAATTTTTCTTTATATTATGATGACCTACAGCAACTCCCTATACTCTAAAATTGCACCTGATGATGGAGATTTTTTCTCAGAAGGCAAAATTGTACAATTATCTTAAGAGTTTTATTAATTATTTTAGGATTTTTCACTTTTTCAAAAACAGGGCTCCCAAAGAGAGACATCCTGTTCCTCCAATGCCCTGGATGGAGACGTAGCGCCCCTCTTTGAAGGGACAGGCGTCCCCAAAAGCCAATTTGGCGGCAGCTTTGCGGAATCCGGTGTGTCCGACTATCGGCAAGTACTCCTTGTCCATTTTTCTTGATGCTATGCATTTCACACACTAAAATAGTAAAATTTAAATTAATTATAATACTCATTAAGTATATCTACTCATCTAAGTATATACAATATAAAAAATATGTAAGTGTGTCTGTTTGGCTGTTTGTCTAAGTTCTATGCATTCAAAAGCTATACATCCAATTTCCATAAAAATTTGGGAGATTGTTGAGAAGATTTTCAAATATTTTCATTAAAACCAAGTGGCCGCCCCTAAGATTTTTATTCTATTTCTTTCAGCAAATTTGTATTTGTATCATTTTTCCTATTGAGATTTTATATTACCTTAATTTTACATAAAAAAATATTTAATTTTTTCCAAGGTGTATCCCTTATCTTACTTTTAGAACGCTGGGCAGAACAAACGGTTTTCCCTTCTCGTCTCGATAGGCCCCAAGGCCCAAATTAACTTTCTTCTTGTTTTTGTCCTTTTTGAAGGCGTCGTTAATGCTGAAAATAGGGTCAGGAGGACCCATCTTTACACCTGACCACCATGTCCTGGAAATAGAAATATAAAATTAATAAATAAGGCTTTATATTGGTTGGTAATTAATTAATAAATAAATAAATTTATATTGGTAAAGTTCGGCCAAAATGTTTCTTCGTAATAAATTGTGCAAAATTTTTTGGTGATTTTAATGCTAGGCACGAAAAAAAACTCGAGTGTTAATTTACAAATTTTAAGTATTGCCAAACCATTTTTTTACACAATTTTGTTCAAGATTTATAGATAATGAAAATGATTTTTCATGAAATTACTGAAAACTTTATTAGTTTTTCATAAACCATGCAATATATATTCTGAGGGTCATGAATAAATATCTTTTATACTAATTATATATTGATTTCTTACTCTTTCGACGACATATTTCTGCCTCCGACGACATCGCAAAAATAATTCGGTCTTACATGGTATTTTATTGTGTGTAAAACAAGCATTTTTATAACAGAAATTTAGAAATTTGAAAAAAAACTGTTGAAATTTGGAAAAAGTGTGAAATCTATTTTTTTGTGATTAATTTTGCATGACGTTAAGTGATTTAGTGTTTTGTTTCGGGGTTGATGATAATGACATTTTTGATAATAGATATTTAAAATATTGAAGATTTATTTTTCATTTTTAAATGGCGGCCGAAAGATCTTATAACAAATTTTCTCCTACCTTGATAATAATCAAGTTTTTATCCTTTTCTTTCATATTTTGCACAAACTACATACTTTATTGTTATTTATAAATAGAAATCGTGTTAAGTTATATTGTTCGAGTTAAATTAATTATATAAAAAAATATTTATTTAATCCCTTATGCCTTCTTTTCCGTTTATTCTTTACTTCAATCTGATTGGTGGAAAAAAGTATTGCCACATGCCAAATATCCTGGATTTGACTTTTTGCGCAACTGTCTTATTATTAATTTATTATCAAAATAAATTAAAGCCATCTAATAATATATAATTTATTCCTTTAGTACTTGTTTTATAATTTTTAATTTCTTGTATATTGTATTGTATTCTTTATTTAATTTTTATTCTTTCTTGTCATAAGCATCTGACACTTGACAGTTGCTTCTGACATTTGGGCAATTGGTATTGATTGCAAATAATTAATTTTAACATTTGTTTCAACATCGACATAATTTTTTACAAATTTTATTTATTCATATTAAATCAATTTTTATAAAAACTAGATTCTATCACCATTTACGATTTTTTAAAATTGTGATTCCTTTACCAGTTTTAGTGCGCCACAGTTGGCTGTCACAAGTGTCACTTTACCTTTACTATCGATTTCTATTTTTATCCTTGACCAGGACATAATATCCTAAAATATATACCTCCTTTGAAACTATTAAAGACATGTATTATTTATAATTAATATTTTTGTTGTTTAATTTTGTGGTGGTGATAAAATGGACGCTGGCGGAGCCTACGGGGGCGGTAAAGCTGGGGGTACATTCGACCCTATAGCTTTTGTTCAGAGGCCCCCAGTGATATTAAGAGCAGTCTGTTGGGTAAGTAGATAGATTTAATTTGGTAATAATTGGATGAATTTAGTTGTGTGTTGGGGTTTTTTACTAGTTATATGATTTTATGGGGGCGGGTGTTGCTTTTAACATGGCGCTTCGAAAATCGATTTTTGACTTTCACCTTCTTCTCAAGATAAATTATATATTAATTAGCTAATTACTATCGTTTTCATTACTTGTTGAATCTTAGTTTTCTTATACTCCTGTTTGTGTTATTGATTTTTGTGTTTCAAGAACTTCTTGCAATTAATTAAATGCATCAGATATTGATTCTTTTGCAATAAACTTCAGGACTATCTTGATTATAAATGAGAAATATTTAAATAATGATAAATTTATTCAGAGATTATTTATTTATTCTTTTACATTTTTCAGTTATTCAGTATCATAGTATTCGGTTGCATATCATCTCAGGGATGGAAAATTGATAATACAACAAAGGAGGACGTCTGCTTGTACAATAATGACTCGAATGCATGCAACTATGGAACTGGAATAGCCGTCATTGCATTCCTTGCTTCCATGGGCTTCCTGGTCGGAGAGTATCTGTTTGAGCAGATGTCCAGTGTCAAGACACGTAAGCATTATGTTCTTGGAGACTTGGGATTCTCAGGTAAAAGATAAATGGATAAAAAAAAATATATTTACAATTCTCATATTTATATATGGATTTTTGTTGTAGGTTTTTGGTCATTCCTGTACTTTGTAGGATTTTGTTACTTGGCCAACGCTTGGGGAAAATCAGAGGCCCCAGAGAATGGCTTTGGTGTTAATAATGTGCAGGCAGCTATCGCTTTTTCATTCTTTTCAATCTTCACCTGGGTGAGTTTATAAAACTAAATGCATTTTATATAAATTTTTCTATTTTATTTTTTTCTCTAGGCTGGTTGCGCCTTTTTTGCGTTTCGCCGGTTCCGCACAGGAGCCGATTCAGCTTTTGCGCCCTCATACGAAGCTGAACCCCAGATTGGGGGTGCCAATGCTGGGGGCTACTCTGTAGGAGGCTTTCCTCAGGATACCACGATGGGCGGAGGTATGGGAGACTACAGGGAGCAGCCCTTCGGTCAGCAACCGAACAGAGGTGGGTTTTAGTAATAGACAGCGTTTTCGAAAGGCAGTTGAGAATATAATATATATATATATATATATATATATATATTTGTTAGTATATCAACTGCCTTTCATAATTCAATTACAATTATTTTACTAGTCGTATAACTACTACTTTTTAGGTCCCACAGACTTCCAACAGCCAACCTATTAAGTTTCGTATTTGGAGACAAAACAAATCTCTGTAAAAAAAACTGATATTATTTTGGGAACACTGAAACTCATATTGTTAAACTATTTTTCATTTCGATCAATTACTAATAATCAATATGTTGCTCGATGCAAGCCAACACGCTAGTCACTCTGTAGAACAACTTTATTTATATAAATAAATAAATTTATTTATTTATTTATCACATTTGTATAGTTAAAAATTTGTGTCTTTTTGCAAAATGGGACAGACAAGAATCAAATTGTAGTTGTTTTTATTACTTTTTTGTCCAATTCGAGACCATTCCATTATTAAATCACCCTTGTGAAGACTTTTGAATCTCCAAAAATTTAATTTAAAATTTTTGTTTTATGAAGTAGTTGTACGAAAAGCTTTATTAACAATTACAAATTTTGTTTTAAAAGTTTACACGTTGTTTTTAAAATTAGTACAATTTATATTTTGCAAAAAAATACATTAATGATAATAATTAGATATTTTGATGTTGCATTAGAAACTTAAGATGTTAAAAGAAAACTTTCTTTGTATTGTTAAATATATTATCGAGTAGGTAAATGTGTATTTGAGGGACACATTTTTATTTGTAAACCAAAGATTAAAAGATTTGTTTGAAATTTAACTAAATAAGTTAAAATTAATGCACTTTGTTTATTATATAACTGGTAAAAAATAGTTATAGTAAACTTACCATTATTTGACATATTATATATATATATATATATATATATATATATATATATAAAAATAGAGATTTAATATATTAGATTTCTTGTATTTTTTATTATATTTTATTTCTTGTGTCCTTTTCAATACATAAATGCTTGCTCGTTAAATAATATATCTAGTAATTGTAAATTTAGTGAGTGTGAGAGGACCTATCTTTGTTGTTTAGATAACTTTTCGACTAAGATAAAGATAACTCTAAAACCCCAAAACCCCTAAAACCATAATATATCGTGTAATAATTGGTAGCTAAACGCAAAATGTAGTTTGTAATATAAAATTATATGTTATTTACTTATTAATGCAATTTGAAATACTTATAAAATGTTCAAAAACTAAGTTATTTGTTATTAGTTGATTTTAAATATTTATTATTTTTTATAATGTAAGAATCTGTAATATGTGTACATTGGAATTAATAATATATATAAATAATATAAATTCCTTTGTATATATATTATATGTATATATAAGCAATGATCGTTGTTTTAATAATATAAGAATATTTTATAATCATCGTGTATATTACATATATACAATTATTGTATATATATGCAGTCAATTTGTTGTTTAAATTATGATATTGACAATTATTTAGTTACATTTATTTATTTCTTTATTAAACATTTGTTTCAACTTTGAATAATAATTTGAAAAAAGTACTCTAGACAATTTAATATTTTTACTTATTTTGAAACATTAATAAATTACTTGCAAAATTATACATAATAATATATATGTTGTAATAAAAATAATTTGTAGAAATAAGTTTGATTGGAAAAAAATGTCTAGATTTTGATTTTAATTCCACAATTCGGCTGCTATATATATAATATTATAATATATATATATATATATATATATATATATATATATAATATATATACATGTAAATGTATATTTATAATATATATGTGTGTACGTACATATATGAAAATATGCATCTTAATTTGTATAGATAAAAATTGGCAATAATATTTATAATATTTTTCTTTCTGATGCGCAAACAGTATTTATATAATTTTAATGTATTTTTATATATATATATATATATATATATATATATATATATATATACAGCAAAACCCGATTAAGACGATTTCTCACCTTTTTTGCCAAAATATATCACCTAAGAAAGATTTTGACGCTTTAGCAATTATAAAATTTTCACCCTACTTCTACCTTTCCTATCATTAATGAAGGAAACAATTGATAAATTCAGTTGTTGTTTTAATAGTAATATCTTTAGGGAGTTTTAATTTTGCAAATTTATCTGAAAATATGCCTTTTCTTTTCCAAGACAACATGATAAAGTACTTTCAGATCAGATATATTTGCCATGTTAGGACTTCTAGAGATCTTAGACTAAATACAAGTAAATACATATGCGAATGTGAATAACTATTATCAAGAGATGGTCTAAATACACATCGGACTAGTACTGGGTCTTAAATAAATGAACCTAATTGATCTTGAGCAATATTCACTTGGCTTCGATACATAAAATCTCTCACAGCCCTGGTATTTTACATTCTTTAATATAAATGCAGGATGTCCTATTGAAGCCTTATTAGGGATTCAAAATATGGGTTACAGGAAGATAAAACTACTTTGTTTACCATCAGCTAATTTTTATTAGTTGCTAAGGAAAAAGGAAAATTCTGCAGAATCTCGGGTTTGTGTTTGACATATTAAACTGCAATATGTATTAAATGAAATATGAGAAATCTTAATGAGTGATTGTCTTAAACGGGTAGTGCTATGTCTATATATATATATATATATATATATATATATATATATATATATATATATATATATATATATATATATATACAAGCATTCAAATAGAAACTCCAGGCTATATGTTAAAAGTAATGTTTGTTAAAGTTACTATTTGATCTTATTTATATTTATATTTACTCGCATAGAAAAATCATTTTTATTCTGATACACTATAATATTATGATATTAAAAGTTGTATATATAATTGTGCATATGCAAAATAGGTTTTATGCAAGTCTACTTAATTAAATTGAAGCTCAAAGTTCAATTGCATTAGATAGCAGTTAATAAATCAATTCAAGAGGTCACGAAGACCTTTAATGCAATTGAACAAGACTTAATGTAATTCTATGTCTAATCGATGTCTAAAAATATGGTCGTTCAGAGTCGTACAGTCCAAAAATAATCTAGAACAACAGTCATTTTACAAATATATAAATATATTAAAAAGTAACATGAATTTTGTGGTAATCTTTTTCAAATCCAAGCATCATGATGAAAATTGTCTTCTTTCAACCGTTTCAAAGACAATTTTCATAAACTTGTAAAAATAATATAGTAATATAATACTTTAGATTTAATTGTAGTGTTAAGGATACTTATAAGTGTAGGTTTTAAGGTTTTATGTATATGTGTGTATATATATTTATTTAGTGTTTGATATTTATATATATATGCATATATCAGGGTTTTGTTTATTAAATTATTAGCAAACTACTCACTAATCGACTAACTTAAAATCATTAAAACAGAATTTGCTCAAAACCATATAAACATCACCATTTGCAAATTTCCTATTTTAGTGAGTCGATTGCTATTAATAAACAAAACCAACATTTGCCACAAATATATATGTATGATATAATTATTTATTCATATATATTTGTCTGATTTGAAAGAAATTACCAATTTCAAAATTCGATTGATAAGTTTCAAGGTTTACATTGATGTTAAAGTAATTAATGTCGTTGAATTTGTGTGTGCGTGTGTGTGTTCAAATTAAATGGGCTTTCTTATATTCGACTTGAGGCCGCCTTGTTGTTTATACGAAGCTCATTTTGGAAAAATATTCGGTGTTTTCGTGTTAAATGTAAAAATGTAAAAGAAAATGTTGAGGTGAAGAAGACGATTATATTTGAATTTTGTGTTAGCAGTGAAGTTTGTGCAAATATAAACGTGAAGTTTGTGCAAACATAAACGTGAAGTTTGTTCATAATTTTTTTTTAACTAAAAATACATTTATAATTATAATAATTAGCTAAAAATTTTATGTTTAGAATATTTTGAAATCGTTAATTTCAACAAAAAGTAGTATTATTTTATTTTATACGACATTTTTCTTTACATTTTCGATTTTTTTGTTTGTTTTATGTTGGCCGTGCTTGATTTTGCGCTGACTGTACTTAAACGTCAAATTCGTTTGTTAACTTTAACGAATGTGCTTAAATATTTATAATTTTGTTAATTGCGTATTAATAACAAAAGTTTATTACTTAAATATTGAAAGTATTATTTATTAAAGCATCGTCTCTCGTTATAATATAAAAATGCATGTTATATCTATATATAAAACCAAAAATATTGTGAAAACTATTTTGCATATGTACTGGTATGTATACAGAGTTTTGAGGTTACTGTCTTAAATTCAAATCCGGAACAAGGAAATTGATATAAATCGTTGTTAATTTAAATATAGAGAAAGAATGAATACTTTTTAAAGTTTTTTGAACTTTGTGATTGTTTTTCTTTGCACAATTGTCTATAGAATTAACTTCAGCAAGTAATCTATTTGAATTGAAATATATTTCAAATTAATAGCCTTTTCAATAGTTTGCAAAATCTATATTGGGAATGTATAGTCACCTTAAACAGTTATCATGTGTAGTATTATTTTAATATGTGTTACTTACAGTTTTATTGTTAAAAATTTAATAATGAAATTTAATTATTTAACCCCAAAAACCTTTTGCAATGTTATAGTTAGCTTAATGGCCTATACTGACAAAAATTATTTCCTAGAAAAAAATATCAATAGCGCATCTGTTTAAATATTTTTCTGGAAGTTCTATTTGAAGGCATGTATATATATATATATATATATATATATATATATATATGAATATATATATATATATATATTGGTAATACTTTTGCAAGTTTATGTGCAAATTCTTAAAATTATTTACTTAACTTATATATATATATATATATATATATATATATATATATACATAATAAATTTTCTTAGACTAATAATTTCACCATTGTTTCTAATTATGATGCTTTTGCGTTTGAATGTGTTAGCGACTGACAAAAGACAAATATTTTAAGTTATTAATAAATGTGTATGTATATGTTAAACAAAAAACACTAAAACAAACCACTAGTGTTTTACATTCAACTTATTCTTTATTCTTTAAATAATATTTACATTGCAGGAATATTTTAAAACATATTCAATTAGAAATGTTTTATAAGAAGTTGTTTTTAGAAATCTTGGAGCAAATTTTGTGTTAGTTTTCTGTATACTAAAATGTCTACGTCTTTGGCCCATAGGAAGTCCAAGTGGCTGAATTGTTGATTGGGTATGTTGTGGACTTGTATTAAATTTTTTGCTAGTTTTATTGCTAATGTTTCGACATCCTGTAAAAAAAATATCTATATTTTAGAGTGTGAAGCTGAAGAAATTATTGTTTAGATCTTTGGGTCATTTCAAGAAACTTTGCTGAAGGAAACACAGAATCTCAATAACTTACAAGAAAAAGGAAACTATTCTTGAGAGGATT